GGATATGGCCATATCCTGGGCGCGGTACCAGCTGCCTGTCTTCTCATCATAGCACTCCACTTTTCAGGTGATTTCGAGCCCATTGAAACCACCCACCACGAACATAAGGTCATCCACCACCTCGATGCCAAAACCTTGGCGCGGGTTGAACATGGGGGCCACAGCACACCAGCGGTTTGTCAACGGGTCATAGGCCTCCACACTCTGCAAGCAACTGGACCTATCAGAACCGCCAACCTGGGGGATGCCAAAAGTAAATGATCACTCAGATACCAAAGGAATGGGCAAACATCAACTTTCCCAAAGTCATGAACTCATTGCTTAAGGAATTTTAGGCCTAAGCAGCCAGGGGCCTCATTTATCAAAGTGATTTATGCACAAAAAAGCCATTGAAAATGTGTGGACTGGGGATGGGTTGATAGGCCACATTCTTTCAGTTCGGATCGGATTCCGATACTGTCAATAGGGATACAGGTTCCGATACAAGAACTCTTTTTACTTTATTATTTTAATATAATAAATATGTAAAACGGAGATATTTATACTTTATCATTTTTTTAACAAGTAAAAACACATCTTTAATTAGGCTACTAGAAACATACATAACATACTGTCCTTGTTGTGCAATTGATTGTACAATATATACAAGAACTAGGGCTGTCAAAGTTAACACAATAATAGCGAGTCAACGGGAATTCATTGTAACATGACTAATTTTTTTGATGTCATTAACGCGTGTTGAGTTGGATGGCAGCTCAGAAAAAATAATTAACAAAGGAGAAGGTATTTTGAATGGCAGGTTAAGCTTCAAAACACTGTTTGATGGGTCTATCTACAAGACCAAAGTTATTTGCAGTTAATGTCAATGTGAAATGAGTTACCACCAAAGTACATCTAGTCTTAAATACCATACTAGGCTGCGGCTCTTCTCAGAACGATAGACGCATTCGCATTTTCATGTCTTAACATATTATAATAATACTTTCATTAATATAAATAATTTATTTATGGGTTACTATTATTATTTTTCATTTAGGTATTTCTTTAGCTATATGTGAATGAGGCGGTCTGTCGCGCGCTTCTGTGATGTCTTAACTACATAATTTACATCTTCCTCAAAGTCATTCTCTATGAGAGTAGAGAATTATTCATGATTTAATTTGCGATTAATTTGTGATTAACTATGGATAGTTGTGTGATTAATCACGATTGAATATTTTAATCTATTGACAGCCCTAACAAGAACATACAAGAAAGGAGTCACTCACCGCGTAGATTTTATCATTGTATGCTATGACTCCAACACCACATCGGGGAACTCTCATTGGAGTGATAGGGGTCCAGCGTTTGGTCCGTGGGTCATAGCACTCAGCGGTAGACAGACACTGAATCCCATTGTAGCCCCCACAGATGTACACCTAGGCAAACCATTGTAAAAGTGAATACACTTCTGGATGCTGATGCTAGTGCAGACCAATAATGCTAGGCCATTTAAGTTTCTTCCAAAGACAAGCTTAGTGAATTTAG